CGTGGGGGGTGTTTACTGTTGGTTTATTTATTTTGCCTTTTTTATGTTATTTAAATATTTTTATACATTGGTCAGTTAAGTAAGACAATTTGCATCATGTTCCTAAAATATCAGTGAGCCGTGGGAATGACCTGAGCTTGCACCCAAACAATCCCCTGCCGCAGCCCTGACTCATCATGGAGGGCACACGTGGTATTTGGGGGCAGAAACTGAAATCTGGAGTCACGTCTGAAAAAACGTTTTTTGTTTTTTTTTAAATTTTTGTGTCTACAAGCCGACACGCCGAGCAGAGGTCTGTCAGGCCCCCCGCTGTGCCAGCAGAACATTTCCTAATTGTTTCCAGAGGGTTGAGTGCGCGTCGCCTTGTGTACAGAGACGGACTTTCCCGTGACGCGGCGCCTCGTTCAGTCATCTAAGAGTCCTGAACGCGCACACACAGGTTTTAAAGTGGAACGGCAGCCAAAACGGTGTTCTGGGTGGTGCGGGGAAGTGTTGGAATCTCTGCCATGTTGGTTATCTGTGACCCTTGGCAGGAATTTCTCCATCCTTCCTGTCTCGGTGATCACTGTCCCTGCCACAGGAAGCCGATTGATTGGCCGGGCCTGGATGATGTAATTCTTGCGCATGCACGTGGGAGTGGCTTCTTCCCGGCATGGAATGGTGCTGAGACTGTACACTGAGCTGAGAGGCGGGACCAGGGGTGGGCAAACTCAGGCCCTCCAGCTGTTGCGGAACTACAAATCCCATGAGGTATTGCATGATTCCCTGAGACGGATGCATCATGGGATTTGTAGTTTCACCCCAGCTGGAGGGCCGGAGTTTGCCCACCCGTCTTACACAGTCTCTTCTCTTATAGCAAGCAGCCTGTCGGCACTTTTACAATTAATTACTTCCTCTTTAAGAAGGAACTTCCATCTCCCATTATTGATAGCTGTACTTTTCACGAGGGATGCACCGATATATTGGCCGCCGAAACATATATCTCTGTCCCCCCTTCTCTCGCTCACTCCCTGTGTCCCCCCTTCTCTCGCGCTCTCTCTGTGTCCCCCCTTCTCTCGCGCTCTCTCTGTGTCCCCCCTTCTCTCGCGCTCTCTCTGTGTCCCCCCTTCTCTCGCGCTCTCTCTGTGTCCCCCCTTCTCTCGCGCTCTCTCTGTGTCCCCCCTTCTCTCGCGCTCTCTCTGTGTCCCCCCTTCTCTCGCGCTCTCTCTGTGTCCCCCCTTCTCTCGCGCTCTCTCTGTGTCCCCCCTTCTCTCGCGCTCTCTCTGTGTCCCCCCTTCTCTCGCGCTCTCTCTGTGTCCCCCCTTCTCTCGCGCTCTCTCTGTGTCCCCCCTTCTCTCGCGCTCTCTCTGTGTCCCCCCTTCTCTCGCGCTCTCTCTGTGTCCCCCCTTCTCTCGCGCTCTCTCTGTGTCCCCCCTTCTCTCGCGCTCTCTCTGTGTCCCCCCTTCTCTCGCGCTCTCTCTGTGTCCCCCCTTCTCTCGCGCTCTCTCTGTGTCCCCCCTTCTCTCGCGCTCTCTCTGTGTCCCCCCTTCTCTCGCGCTCTCTCTGTGTCCCCCCTTCTCTCGCGCTCTCTCTGTGTCCCCCCTTCTCTCGCGCTCTCTCTGTGTCCCCCCTTCTCTCGCGCTCTCTCTGTGTCCCCCCTTCTCTCGCGCTCTCTCTGTGTCCCCCCTTCTCTCGCGCTCTCTCTGTGTCCCCCCTTCTCTCGCGCTCTCTCTGTGTCCCCCCTTCTCTCGCGCTCTCTCTGTGTCCCCCCTTCTCTCGCGCTCTCTCTGTGTCCCCCCTTCTCTCGCGCTCTCTCTGTGTCCCCCCTTCTCTCGCGCTCTCTCTGTGTCCCCCCTTCTCTCGCGCTCTCTCTGTGTCCCCCCTTCTCTCGCGCTCTCTCTGTGTCCCCCCTTCTCTCGCGCTCTCTCTGTGTCCCCCCTTCTCTCGCGCTCTCTCTGTGTCCCCCCTTCTCTCGCGCTCTCTCTGTGTCCCCCCTTCTCTCGCGCTCTCTCTGTGTCCCCCCTTCTCTCGCGCTCTCTCTGTGTCCCCCCTTCTCTCGCGCTCTCTCTGTGTCCCCCCTTCTCTCGCGCTCTCTCTGTGTCCCCCCTTCTCTCGCGCTCTCTCTGTGTCCCCCCTTCTCTCGCGCTCTCTCTGTGTCCCCCCTTCTCTCGCGCTCTCTCTGTGTCCCCCCTTCTCTCGCGCTCTCTCTGTGTCCCCCCTTCTCTCGCGCTCTCTCTGTGTCCCCCCTTCTCTCGCGCTCTCTCTGTGTCCCCCCTTCTCTCGCGCTCTCTCTGTGTCCCCCCTTCTCTCGCGCTCTCTCTGTGTCCCCCCTTCTCTCGCGCTCTCTCTGTGTCCCCCCTTCTCTCGCTCTCTCTCTGTGTCCCCCCTTCTCTCGCTCTATTATATATTATTAGTACACAATTATAAAATGTTATAGTTGAGTCTCTGAGAGATAGAAGATGCTTCTGGTGAACTTTCCAGCCTGCACCATGATATTGGCTCTCTAATCCTCCATTACATTCAGGTCATAAGATTTTTTTTTCCCCCCTCTGAGATTTCTGTGCGGACTGTGAAGTGGTTAAATGTCACGCTGACGTGATAAGAAACACATTTCCCTCAGACTATGTAAATCTATCTCCCATCAGAATGAGGAAATGCGCAGAGATCCAGGATGAAGGGGGTTACTGGTACAGCGCCCCTTTGATGTGATGCTCCCGTGGGAGGGGCGGTGGCAGGAGATCACATGGACACGTCACTCATCGGAATGGGGTGAAATGTTGTACGTCGGCTTCGAGGAGCCTGCGGCCCAGATGGGGGCCGATCCCTTGTGTGATGGCTGTGCATTTAAT